TTATAAAAATTTTGTAGATTTACTTTATAATTTCAAATTTTAATGCGATAAACAATCTTGATTATAAAAACGTTAACAACATTTAAAATAATATTTATGAGATTTTTTAACTATTGAAATTGAATTTTTAATATAATTAATTGTGTATAAGATTAAAAATATTATTTCTGAGCAGCAGCGCGTTCTACAAAACAGTTCTTAAACATTCTCTTTGTTGGCCAATTTAATACGTAAATTGCACATTATTTCATTAAGAGTGTAGTCAGGAATCTCTTTATGAAATTGTGTGATTTAATCTGAAAATTCAAATCAAGTTAAAAAGCTATTAAATGAAGTTTTCAACGTGTGCATTTATTAAATAAATTAATGACAATTTTAGTTTTAATCTTTATTACTATACAAAAGTGTAATTTAAATAGACAAAGTTCTGAGGTGTAGGTTTTCATTGTAGGAGTTTTAAATATAAAACTTGTATGTACATTTTAAAAATACTTTTAATTTTTATGCTTTATTGTACATAAAAAAAAAAACCATCATTTAGGATTAAATTTCTTCAATTAAAAATAATTTAATTTTTCAACTATATTATGTACAACATACCAGTCTACAACTAAAATGTTTAAACTCAAAAATTGAATTTTCTCAAGAATCAAGTTCACTATAAATATTAAGTGTTTAACTAAACAACTACATAAAACTGAATATTGAAGTAATTGGAAAAAGTCTCGTACCAAAGCTGGATAGGAATACAGATAATGAGCCACTGTTTCCTCCTCCTCCGCGTTACAATAGCATCTGTCGAAATTATTAGTGTCGCGTCACATCTTTCTGAAATGTGCGCCGGCATGATAATGTTCTCATTTAGAACCCTTGTCAAGACTCCGATGTAAGAGTGAGAGGCATTAGCTCGGTCGTGCGATGCAGATTTGACTTAGGCAAAAATTGCCTGATCGCGTGTTATTTCGTTTCATATGCCTATTTGCTGATGGTTTGCAATGTTGTCGTATTACATACCAGCAACTTGAACGTCCTCAGAAACATCCCCAAGTCTTCCTTCTCAGGAAGATCTCAAGGGTTATTCTATGCCTTGAAAGGACATCTTCCTTGCAATTTCCTGGAAGTCTGATATCCCCGGGAACTCAATTCAGTCCAATTTCGAACAATTCCGCCATTTCATTAAGAAATTACCTGTAGTCTAGGACTGTTCTAAAACAAAATGTTTCTGCTTCAACACCTGTATGGCTGGTTGACGATACTTCAAAATGCTCATTCTTCTATCAGATCAGCAGCAAGTTATATATTGCAACCATCTCCCCCTGAAAGACGATGTTGAAAACGAAAAGAGATCTCTACATTACAAGAGCTAAATAAATTGTTTTGAGAATTTTAATAGCTAAAAATAACATTATAAATCTGGACAAGAGACTGTGAATATTCATTTAAATGTGAATTTACTACCCCATATCTATTATTATTTCTCATTATAAACATATTTAAATATCAAAAAACAAAAACTCATTTTAAAGATCACAAAATTAATTGTAATTTTATATTAGTAACATTGTGTTCATACACCTACGTTATGTGCTCCTATGCTTATGCACTATAAATATAGACATTATACACGTACATCTTATCACTGCGATAATCAGCAACCAAATAAGTTATAACAGCATAAATTATGTTAATCTACTGTGATCATTGAATTAAATTACGAAAAACCAAAAGAAAAAAATCCCAAAAACAGAAACAATATTGAAGTAAAGATGGTAGGTAACCGAATATTTTGAAATAATTTCCCAAAACGTGACATTGTGAAGGATTTTTTTAAATTTTCATTTTTTTTTTTTATTTTTACAAAATTTACGATTGGCCCGATCTGAACACCAACACTTTGTAAGTGTGTATTTAATGAATACTCAAGTTGAAAAAAAAAAAATACTTCAGTTGCGTCTACTTAACTAGAAAACAAAACAGTTATAAATAATACAAGATGTTTTAATATGTTTTATAGAACTATACAAAGTTTACAACACAAAGTGAGAGGCAAAATTTAATTAATAAAACTGTTTAAGATTGCCAGTTATCCTCTCATCTTATTTTATACTAAAAATTTACTTTATTATAATAGCATTAAAAGTATTTCACTCCTTTTCCGCAATTTTAAAGTTTTCTAGTCCTTTTCCGCAATTTTTGTCTAACACAACACCGAGTAGCGACATTTCAAAGAGATGGAATGATACTTTGATAAGAAACCGAGTAGAAACGAATACTCACCTTTTTCAACGGTACCACAACCGGTTTGCTTAGTCTAAGTTCATTCTTTTGAGAATTATGTCCATCTCCCCAAAATAATTCTTTGTTATTAGTCAAAATGTTTGGAAAGGACTGTTGACTACCAGTGACAGTAAATGATATGTAAAAGACGGCAACTCTAATATACATTGTAATACCTGAACACAAGAACTTTAACCCTAGAACTGAAAATTCCAAATTTAAAGTTAAAAATCATTTTTTAATATGATGACACCTTTTTTAGCCTGTCGGTATACTTCATTTTAGACAACAAAATTTATTTGTCTAAGAGCTATAATACAAAATACTATATAGGCGCCTATTGATCTTGGTAAGTTTACTATATTTAAAGAATAAATTAATTTAGATTCTTATAATTAAAAATTATCCTTTTAATTACCTGTGCTTATCATTTCATTTTCTCCGGTCTATCAATCCGTGTGTTTGTTTAATAAACAAGCATTCAAGGGACTGATCAATCTCTTTCGTTTAAAATGCAATAGAAAACTGCAGTCTTTGTCCATTTTAAAAATCTAATACAATTTCTTCACCCTAAAAAATTTTAATCTTCTCCTTTTTGTCTCTTAAAAATTTTAAAGCCTAGAAGTATGCAATTACTTTACATAATAAGGTTTTTATCAGACAACGTAAACGAGAAATGGCTTTTAAAACTTAAATTTAAATTATTTAGTAGGAATAATTTTTTATAACCCTTGAATGTCTACTTAATTTTTTGTCATAATTGAGTGGACATTCAAGGGTTAATTGGACAGTTTATGCAAGTATATTGTAATATGCAATCCATATATTGCATACATGCGTGAATGTGTGTACATATATCGAATAAAAGTTAAAAAAAAAACAACAATAATAAAATCATATTATTTCCTCAAAAATAAATTTCATGTTGGTTAATGACCCCTTAAACACTTTACATTTTCTATAATAATCAAAACAAAAACAATTAAAAAAAAAAGAACAAAAAAAAGAAACATTCACAAAAAAAAAGAAAAAGAACAAAATTTAAAAAAAAATAATAATAAGAAACAAAAAAAATTTACACCAGCGCCACCCTTAATAAAAAAAAAAAACCAAAAATGTCAAAAAAATTTTTTCTCTTTTGATTTTTTTTTTTTTTTTGAGTTTGTTTTTATCTCTCACACTCAAGAAAAGTAATAAACAATAAAATACAATCATAATTAACTTAACATTAAACTTTTAACCATAACTAAAAGAAAAAACAAAAAAAAACAAAAACTACACAAACCATGTTAATTGTGAATACAATAAAAATTGTGAATACAGACAGCAGCACTTTTATTCAATATAATGGTTAATAAGAGGAATTATAGCAATAATAAATAAATAAACAATAACAAAAAATAAAAAATAAAATATTAAAATGTACATATGCATACATACATATAAAAAAAATACCATTTTAAGTTTCCTGACTAGGCTCAGCAGCTCAATTCACAATTCAATGCAATAACACTTTTTTTTTATCTCTTTTTCACAAATGCTCGCCAACTTAACTATTATACGTTTTTTTTTATATTTTTTTAATTTTATTATTCACAATTTTATTGTATTGTAAATATTTTTATATGTACATTGTTATGTACATACATGTGAATATACCATATAGTTACCAGATAAGTAAATATGGTAATAAAATGTCGCCTTTTGTATTATTTCAATAAAATATTATTGTTGACATGTACAAGTACACATATTATAGGTATAATATTTAAAATTCCTATACCTGGAAATTCTCTCCCACTAAAAAAAAATAAGAAGAAGAACAATAATATGATATCCATGTAACTTTTAACAGAGAAAACTGTTATTATTTTGTTTTTTTTTTTTGCAATTAAAACGCATATATAATACCGCGACATCTTTGAATGAGAACAATAATTGTTTTAAAAAACTCAAGTAAAGTTTAATAATATTTATAACTCAAAAAATAAAAAAAAATTAAAGAATTTTTCTTTTTTTTTTTAAATTAAAGTAGAAGAGTTTAAGAATATTAAAAAGAATTTATAATAATTGTAATTCTTAATTTCTTTATGAGTTATAAATTAAAAAATAATAATAAAGAAAAAAAAATAAAACGAAAAATTTCATAGTAAAGGATTCTAAATTCTTATAATATAACACAAAAGTATATAACAGAATTTTTATAACAAACTACATATATTACAATATTTTAAGAACACTCTGAGTGAGAATTAATATTAAAAAAAGAGAATATTAAAAAAAAAAACAAGGATAATAACGAGTAAAATTCAATTTTATATTTGTGTTTGTATTTTACTTTGTAAAATAATATTTTTACAAATACACTCAGAAAAAAAATTAGAGTAAAAACGAAAATATATATATAAAATATTTACATACATTCTGAATGATTTATTTATGATTTTATTATTATTATTATATTGATCGTTTAAACATCAAAGAAAAAGCAAAAAAGAAAAATTAAGAACAAAATATTCAATACGAAAAAAAAAAAACAAAATACAAAAAAAAGGATTAACGCACATATTGGTATTAATTTTTTTAATTTTTTCTTTTCTTTTTATTCTGGATAATATACAGAAAAAAAAAAACAAATTTTTGTATAATAAAAATCTGTTAAAAATATTTACACAATCAATATTTTCCAAATAAATATATAAAGGAGTATACAGATTGTACTTAAGATTCAGTGATTTTTTGATTTTCAAGGAATTAAGTGGAAATTTTCAAAATTATTTGTTGAAATATACGCTTAATTAAAATTAAATATAAAATTTGAAAACGTAAAGTGAAATTTAAGCAGAAGTAACAAAAAGAATTGTGCAATTAAATTAATAAAATAAAATTATTAAATAATTTAATTTAAAAGAAGACAATTAAAACAGTTGAATTTTAATTATTAAAAATAAATTGAATAAATAATTAAAAAAAAAAAAATATAGAAAAATGAATTTCATATTTGTATTTTTGGTGAGTTTAATTTTAATATTTTAATTTTAAATTTAATATTAACAAAATTATTATTCATTAAAAATTAATTAAAATACAGATGATCTCATTAAAATTTAAAAGTTCTACACGAACATTTTATTAATTCAAAAACTAAAATACCTAAAAAATTTCGAATTTTGAAAAATTACCCGTATTCTCTTAAAAAGAAATCTTCCCTCCTCCTCTCCCCCTCCCCCCCCCCCGCCACTTTCCCTCTTCAAAATAAATTTTGGAACTATATTACCTATTTAATTTGAATTTGAAACTTAGTCATTAATAAATTTGCAAATTTACCCACATTCTCTTACCCTCTCCCCGCCCCCTTCCCAAAAAACGGAATCATTACCAATTTAATCTTAAAATAAAATAATAAAATTCACAATTAAAATTTAACAAATTACTATTTGAAACCTATAGTTTGATAATATAACAAGTTTCCGATTATGTTGATACACTTAAGTACACCTACTAGCACCTAATGTATACAACCTACTACAATTAAATCAAACTAATAAATCTTTTGTTATTTATATAGTCATAACAATTTTATCTTTTGAATTTCCGACAACATTAAATTCCATTTTAATTATATTACTTAAACATTTTGTAGAACATTAATTAAATTTTCTTAAATTAAATTAGAGTGATAACTAATTTTGGAATTTATAATATATAGATAAGCATTCTAGATCAAAAATCTTATATATAAATTAAAGTTAAATCATCAATTTAATTTTATGTGTATATAATGTCCATATATGGTTAATTTTAATAATTATAAAAAAAACGAAATTGTTATACATTTCTATTAAAATTTCGAGTTTGTTCTTTTTAGTTTAAACAACGATATTCGAGTTTAATGATAAAGTATAAAACTTAATTAATTATACATTAAAAAAGAATTTGGCCATTTTATCACATCAGATTTTAAAAATTTCACCTACGATTAAATTTTTGATATACTTTCGAACTACTTTAGTTCTAAAATTATAGCAATTTTTTTTTAATTGCAATTTTAACTTTAATATTATTAAAAGCTATAAAATGTTGTCAACTTTATTATGATTCATTTGTATATAAATTAAAAATTTTGAAAATCGAACACTTATTTTGAAAATCGAACAAAGGATTTCTTTGATTCTCTAATTAATTAGTGTTAGGACAATAAAATGTTTACATATGTTACCTAATTTATTCAAAGAGAGTTTAAATTATAAGCCAACCCAGACCTTAATTGTAAATAAATATTATGCTTCACAATACAAACAATCTTTGTTCTTTCATTTGGAATTCACACATTTCTCGCTTGCATTAGTAATTTTTTAAAATTTCAAATATTAAGTATTTATAAAATGCGCAAAAAACAAAATTAAATTTAACTATTAAATTTTAGCACAATAATTATTGTGCTAAAAACTAAATGACCCAAAACTGAAAAGCGTCGATGCCCACTTAAATAACAAAGAAATTTAACATTAAATTAAAATTTAATTAGATGAAAGAAATGTGCAAAATAAAAAAAGAATTTCAATAATTTGCCAATTAAATTTGCATTATTTTCAAACAAAAAAACTCAATTACTGAAGCCAAACTTTACTAATTTGTAAAATCCAATATTGTCAAATCCATTAATATTTTTGCATTTCTTTACAAATTTAATTAATAACTTTAATTTAAAAAAAAAAAAAGTATTTAATGTTAATTTACTTGTTAAGTTCGCCTTTATCTCTCAAAGAATCAATATTATTGCAAAAAGTTTAATGACCTCGACAAATTTTTTTAATTGCAATATTAGACCTAGTTATTATTTATAATATATAACAGTATAACATAATATAATATAACAGAAGCTTTTTAAATGTAAAAATTCAAAATCTTTTTTTTTACATTTTGCTAATTGATTAAAATTCTCCTTTCATTTGTTTTGGATAACTAAACAAAATTTTTCATTAATGGCTGTCTGCTATTAAATGACAAACCGCAATCCACACGAGTAAAACTTAATAATTAGCACAATCGTAATAATTTTTATTTTCTCAAAGGTTTCTGTTCTGCATTTTGCGATAAATTTATAACCTTTTAATTCTTTTATATATGCCATCCTAAATTTGCAATTTAAAATCAAAAAATTTTATCCATGAAATCAATTTTTTTTTATAAATTATTGCAAATTAAAATATTCAAAGATAAAATGGTCAAATTATATACGACCAAAAAACATATATAAATCAAATATTTTTGACATTTTATCACATAAATTAGCATTTAAATCAAATAATCAAAAATAATATTTAATAATTAATAATTTTAATGCAAAACAAAAAAAAATCCAAAATAAACATAACTACAAAAAAAAATTTTGTAAGTGTCAAAATCAATCTTCTTCAGAAGATTTTACAATCACATCAAACCATTACAAGATTATTCAAATCGATTGAGATTTTATCGATGTGAATAAAAAATCAAATAACAAAAAAAAATTAATCGATTTTTTCTTCTTGTCATTTTTATTCACTTTTTTTTTTATTTCGATTTTTGTGAATATTAAAAATATCGATTTAGGTCAATCATTTTATCTCAGAATTTTAATCAATTAATTTTTGTCTTATCATTTAAGATAAATTTCAATTTAGTAAACAAATTCATTCAAATATTTATTCATGAATGTATTTCTAAAGAGTATATGCGCCGATATTAATAATTAAGGGTTAATTTTGGAAATTAAGGAGATTTGAGAAAATTTGAAAACACACTTGGATATTAATATTTAATTTTTGTACTATGAAAGATCAACAAAAAAAATATTTATCTCGATCTCTTTAAGAACTTAATAAAAAAAGTGAAAATTTTCAGAATTAATCCAAGAATCAACCATTGAGAATTTGTTACAATTGACATTGAAATTAAAGGTAAGCTTTACATTGATATAATATCATTGGGCATTGTTAGTCTACCACTGACAGAGACATTATATGAGAACTGACAGAGACATTATATGTACTGAAAAGAACGTATTATGTGAGCCTTAGATATTATAAATTTAAAACAATGATATTTACTCTATGAAATTCACTCAAATTCTATATACACTTACATATGCTTTAAATTAAATGAGTGCTATAAAATTTGTTAGATCGAATTTTGTGTATCATCCTTGGTGACAATTCTTAGTACTTGAATATATTAGTTTAAACCGTTTGGTCATAAAAATTTACTGCTATACTTCAGTAAATTTTAAATGGAGCCAATATAATAGGCCAGTATAATACTCGATATTTAATTATAAATTAGCATTAATTGTACAATATTTAGATCGTAAATATAAATATAGTCACATCTAGCTATAGAACTTTAAGTTGTCGCACATTGTATTACTTCATATTATGAAAATGCCTGAAAATGACAGATAAGATTCACCCCATTTTTTTATTAAAACGATCACAATTTTAAAGTACAAGGAATTCGTATACAAAAATTATTTATTATTATTTCACTAATAGTTTCATATTATTATGTGGCCAAGTATTCACTGGTGCTTCCTCACAAAAAAAAAAAAACAAAAAACCATTATTAAGTAAATACCAATGTGTCATTTTTTATATTATTTATTTACAATTAAGGCAGTGATTTTTTGATCAATAAGGTGTGTACAAGTTTTCATATAAATCACAATTAGTATAGGTCAATCGAACAAACCATTATCGCAATTATTCAATCTGCGATTGACTTTGAATATTAAAATATTGATTTTTCTCTGATTATTTTTTTTAAGTTCATCTTTAATATTAATTAATTACTATAAACTGGTGTTTTGTTTTAACAAAAATCAAAGCAATTATATACATACATAAGTATTAAACCTCATAATTACAATAATTCATTTTATCAATTTTCAATTTCAATTTTCAATAAAATTGGAGGAAAAAATCTACACGTATACACACACATACATTGTATATAATATGCATTTAAGAATTCACTTAAAATTTTATAAAAAAATTTATTATGAAATTTTTATAGATTTTTATCTTAATAAATAAATTTAAATTTTTTTTTATCCTCCTCCCAATTTTTATAATTTTTTACCTTTATATTATTTGCGGTGCATTACGAACTCTTTTTTTTTCCCCTGATATTTGGAATTGGAATGCATACTTTACTTATTTTTGATACTAGTGTGAAAAATAAACGAAAAAAATTTCTTTTCAAAGCTACAATGTAAATACACCACAATATAAAAAAGGTTATCTCTGTATAGTTATCAGTTTCAGTTCCATACACCATAATGGTAAAATTTAATAAAATGGCAATGAAAAATTAAAAGATTTCCAAAGAAAATATATTGTTAATATCATATTTTCTTAAAATTAAGTAATAAATTTTCATTTTCATGAAAAAAAAAACCAAAATTTTATTAAAATAAAATGGCATAAGCTGATAAGCTCATAAACGTTTTTTTTTTTGATTTTATTGTTTATCGTATTGCATGCATGCACCCAATATTTTGCCAAAAAAAAAATTTTTTTTTAAAACATTTTTAATTTAAGATCTTCCAATTCTACTTGCAAATATGTATATAAAGTATGTGTATATGACAATATGAAAATAATCTTGAAATCTTGTACTTTATTTTATAAATTTAACAAAAAACGAAAAAAAAAATCAATAATTCACTTGTTAACTTCAAAAAATCAAATCATAAATTTCTTTTCTCATCCTTAAAACCACACTGTTGCAATACAAGCACATACAATTTATAAAAAAAGTAAAGTGCGACAAATCTGATAATAAAATGCAATTTAAAGAAAAACAAAACAATTCACATTTTCTCTTTTATGCCTTTCTCTTCTAAAATACAATACAAGTCATAAACAATGAATGTACTCCTACCTACCTGACTACATCCCATACTAATATATAAGTAAGAGTAAGATCCCATACTAATATATGTATAACAAAATATACGTATATATACATGT